CTTCTTATTAAAATAATTATCCCAGATACACATTTAGGTTTGCGTCTGTGAGTTAATTGAATTTCCCCTTCTTGCGGTGTTGCGTTGAGCTTTTCTTGCTTTCTCTACTTTTCATCCTTCACAATTAGCCTTGTGGCCGGCAGAAGAAAAAAAAACGTTCGAATATTGTTATTCGAGCGTTTTTTTTTCCTGCCGGTCGATAATATAAAAATTATGAATAGGAAAATCTTGCCGTGGCTGATGCACAATTGCAGAGATACTCTCGAAGGTGGGAACAGAACGGGCGTCGCGTTGACGATAAATCTTACGATAACATCGTCGACGCGAAACGATGCGATTACGTCATTGCCGAGTGACAGCGCGAGGATGCACAGGATAATAAGGATCATCCCGGTCACGCTTGTCTCCGCTGAACTACTGCGGGAGATCCTCCGGGATTGTAGATAAAATCGATAATTCCTGCATCGTTTATTGTCCCGGTAATATCTCGGTACACACGTAGCGATTCGCGTAATTCTGCATGTGGAATCGTGAAATGATAGGCAATCAAGATAACGAGCGTATTACGACCGACTGAAATATTCAGCATTAGCTGAACGATGGACGCTGGTTAACGTCTGTCGTTTATATACTTCGCGGGTGCCTCCTCGAGGTATGATTTCGCCAGCTTTCTTCGTTCTCACGAGTACTTTTTCATCCTCCCTCCGAATGCACCGTTTGCGACGATAATCGCGATGTAGGGCATTAAGAGTTTCCGACGAGGAAATGCTAACTCGGAGAGCTAGCCTGCCCTTTGAATGTCGCATTGAAAATCGCGCGTGCGGCTTTCGAAGGATTATCTCGCGTGTTTTCTTATCGCGAAACAAAGGTTTGCACTCTGCGCACAACTCCGGCGCACATGTTTGACGCACATGTTTGACGCACATGTCATGTTGAAACAAGATCCTCGCATCAGACAAATTTATTTCACATTAAGCCGTACGTTACTAAACTATGTTTCAATAAATATGATGCTAAAAATACGATGCGATGGAACTAAAAATAAAGAAAAACTTTTCATTAAAAGGTACTCTTATTAATTATTTAATGCGCTCTCTAATGGACTCAAACTCGGAATAAGATGATTTTATTTAACTGAATGATGACTGGAAAAATAAAAAAAATATATTTTATTAGGGAAACACGCATTTTTACAGGTGTGCAAGTCGGGAATTTTTATCGGCAAAATCTGTTCTTTTATTTATTATTTGTTTACGCGCTACTAACTGCATTTTATGATATACAATGAAATTTTTCCACGATACATAACGCTTTAGTATAAAAATTTCCGTGGAGCAAAATTTGTGTAAATATTCCGTTGCTCGAAATGTTCAACAGAATGCTCATCTGCGATGAACTTGCAAAATTGCTGCTTAGTTTAGTCTATATAACACACACACACACACACACACACACACACACACACACACACACACACACACACACACACACACACACACACACACACACATACGTA